GGGCCTTGGGAGAGCTCCATCATTCTCAACGGCATCCCATTAATCACTGCTGCGTTCGTGTTTTCACGTGCCGGTTTCATTAGATCATCTTACTGGAGGATACGCCATGGCTCCCTACTCCACTCTGGATCAAATCCACATTCCCGCGCGGTGGTGCATCTGAGGCCCCATTTACTGGCCCCACGCACCGCTAAATGGGCAGCCCTGGGAAAGAGTCTGGCTGTGCCATTTGCTACTTATGTGACTTGAACAAACTCCTTTAGTAAACTCCCTTTAAAAACAGGAACAAAATCTAGCATGTTCAGTCATTATGAGAATTCGATATAGTGCCTCGCACAGGGAGTTGGCATGGTTCGACAGTTTCATTCCTTTTTCACTTTCTCCCCCAGACTGGAACACCCGCCCTCTTAATCTCTACCCCTCACCCCCCAAAAAGGCCTCCCAAGGCTGGTTTTAAGAGAATGCTTTCTGAAGCGTTTCTATAGTCACTTTAAAACTCAGAAAAACAATGTTTTCGGATTGGTAAAAATTAGGGTTATCTAGTAAAGAAGGCTGGCCTTTTCACCTAGGAAATCATGCATCTTCGGAAACGACAAAGGGAATAATAACCCACCTTCCTAGGTAGAGAACATTCCAGGGATAAAAACCACTGTGGCAGAACTCCCTCCCATTCCACCTGAAATATTTCTCTTTTTCCCAGAACTTACAGAATTCCTCCGTATTACTTAAACTCAGAGCCATTTTTTTCCATGAGTTTTTCTTTGATAATGTCATTTACATAGATTTTTCCTGCTCCACCAGTCTAAAAGCTCTTAATAGAGAGAAGAAATGTTGTCTCTTATTTTTGATCCTATAATACTATTTACAATAGCTAGTCCAAATTATTTTTAATCTTCAACCAATACTGGCAGAAGAATATGTAGGTGGCAGGTGGTGGGTGGGTGAATAAATGGATAGATGATAAACTTCACAGGGTGGGCTCTCTTAGAAAGACATTTTTTAACTGGGCTCTGTAACTGAAGCCCACATTGTTTCGGCAGAGCCTCCGAGTTGCGTACCAGCATGATGCGTATGTTCTCGGAATGACAGTCCACATATGCGCCGCGGTAATGAATGTGAGAAAACCTACCAGCGAGATGAGTGCGTGCTCTCCGAATAGAAACATGTAAGAGCCTCACTAATTTTAACTGGGTTACATAATACACACTTACTTTATGCTCTGTCTTAGATATAAATAAAATCCACAATATATTTCCCAAGGAACTAAGCAAAATTTGAATTAGGAATTCTTAGAAAAGAAAAACAAGTTACAGCAAAAGTGGGAAACCTGAAAATTTAAAAATATGAGCTACTTTTGGTGACTAATTACAATCTTAAGAACTTATCTTGCCACTATTTCACAGTGGCATGCCTTATTGAAAACAGAAATTTAGAACTTTTCTTCTCCTGCGCCAGAGAGAAGATATGGATCCCAAACTTGGGTCTCCAGCTATCTCTGGTATCCAGGTGAAAAGCTAGAGTCAATGGGATTTCCCTGGGAAACTTTCCATTGGTCTTTCAACATTTCTACCTTCGGTTGGTGGTCAATAGACCCTTACTTTCAGCCAGAAGCCATGGTTAGAAAAAAATCTAATAAAGTAGCTCCCTAGAAGATGTTCACAAAATAGGAGTAGTTGTGTGGGACCTATCTGAGACTGTGGAGCCCTTCTAACAAATCTCAAATTACACCCTTTCTTGTATCTCTTTTTAAGAATAGAAGTGGAAATCTCTTCACTGGAAAATTAGTTCGCATCAAAAGCAGTCCTTATTCACTGTTCTATGACTCAAAATTCCCATGGGTAATATAAATGCTGGTGATTCCCAAATCTCATTTATTTATGAAACCAACAAATATTCACTGAGTGCCCAGTAAGTGTCAGACGCTGTTCAAGGTGTTAAACATTAATTGTGATCCCGTCCTACAGGGATTACCATCAAATATGGAAAAGAGAAAGTCTAATAAACATGTACAAGTGAGGAAGATGAGTATAATATCACAAATTACAAAATCCCATGGAAGCAGAGAGAGGCAATCTAATTTAGGTCACAGGATATAAAGTCAGAGCACCTGGAAGAAGAGCTCTTTGAACTCAGATTTGACTTAGAGGAGGAGGAAGCTTGATGGGATTGGATAGGAGAAAGACAGAATTTTCTGAGCAGAGAAACAGTACATGCCATGTCTGACAGAGACAGCCAGCCTTTACGATGTTAACAAGGAGTTAAATGAAGTTCTATAGTTGAAGCTTGGGTGGGAAGGCTGGGGAAGTAAGAGAAATACAGGTCAGGGAATTCTCACAAGTGGGGAGATGAACATGTACTTTATCCTAGGGGAAAAGAAAAACAGTTGTGTGGATTTCAAACCCATGATTTTAAAGCATGTGAATGTTTATGGCTGGTAAACTTCAACCTGATTTTGTAAGACTTGGCATGACTTCTTGAGTGCTGTACCACATTCTAAGCACATAACATGAGGTGTGAAAAAAGGCGGGTAAGTGTCTGGACTTGACCTTTTTCAAGGAAGTATGGGTAGCACTGTTTGAAGCAGCAAAGCATCATGAAAGAAGAAGGTACACCTCAAGTCAATTAGTGGGTAGCAGCAGTAACAACATAAAATGGCTAAGAGAGGAGAGGAAGAGCTGGTCTCTCCGGGTACTGTCAGGGAGCAACCGAGACAAGCAAAGGGGTCCCATGAGATCAATTGTATATCCTCATGAGAATTGCCCTAGATTTCATTTCTAGAGTTGCTCTCTCAGAACCCTACTGAAGGCGTTAAACAAGGTAATCTAATCATGTCATTTATCCAGTTCCCCATATGTAGTCAGGCCGGTGTATGGCAACAGTCCTGGGCTCAGCATACTCTTCCATAACACAGTCCCAGAATTAAGAAGCTGGAGGGTCCTTCTGTACCCACCACTAGTCAGATGGCCAAGTAACAGCAGACTTATTCTCCATTCCATGTTGCTAAACTAGCTCTATTCAAGTACATGATCTGCTGCCTGAATATTGCTCTATGCATTTGCAGCTGAGGTTGGGGTGCTTGAGCGGGTCTACTTTTCCTTTTCTAACCTAATCTCAGTCAACACTGCTGCTCCCTGCGGAAGCATGAGATCCCTATCGCCCCAAACAGTAATTCACTGCTCATCTAAGAGAAGCTTAAGCCAAATGAGCTGACGAAGCCAAATAAACCAAATCCGTAACTATGTGCTGTTCAGAGGGGGCCTCTTTTAAATTCTGTGAAGACAAGGACAGCACCCAGAACGTATCAGCTGAATGATCTGATGGAATGAGAAAACAAATGCCAACAGCCTCTGGAAACTCCTGGGGAGGTATTAAAAGGTAAATTGGGTAAGTCCTCTCATTTTATCAAAGAGACAGACTCTCAGTTGCCACAACTACCCAAAGCAAGAGCCCTAAATTAATACAAAACAAGAGGATGAAACAAGAGGCATACTAATCTTAATTCTTAAGAAGGAAGCTGTTATTTGTTTAGGAAAAATCTCTTCACCTAAAAGGGGAGAACCCAGGATCATGCTGCCTTAACTTGGGTACAACCATTCCAGGCTAAACAAGACGAGGCAAGTGTCCAGGAGGGCAGAAGGAAAGAGAGAAAAAGGAGAGGGTGGAAGACTGCATGTTCTTTGAGGTGATTCTTTCTCGCGAACCTCCCAAATGTTTGATAAAGCTGTTAAAACTCACAAAGGGCTTGAGGAAACATATTTTTATAGAACATGATAAAAATTTTGCAGCATGTTTTGCGTGGGGTGAAGCCAAAGTGATAAGCTTGGGGACAGAAGTGGGGAAGGGGTGCAGAGGGAGGCGGTAGCGGGGGGTGGGGGAGAAGAATGCTAATTCCAGGGCACTAGACTTGGGTCCAGTTTAGCAGGTCTTTACAGGAAGGGTGTCAGTGAACTAGTACCCGTGAATGCAAATTTATCAACTAAAAACTTCTGCCTACAAACTATATACACAGCACTTACTTTACACTTATAAAATTGTATGCTCTAATACTTGATTGTAATACTCTAATTGCTTGAGCTATGGGCACACACAAGTTACTTTGGAAGGATAGTGCCACATAAAAAGAATTTTCCTGGCTTATTCAGTAATTCCTAACCTCCCCTTAATTGATCAAAGAATATCCATTGCCAATCTTCACTTTACCCCACAAACAAACTCAAGCTATGCTGAGATCAGCAATTGGCTACTCATTTTTACGGGAAAAGTCTCTCCTCATTCCATATTCAACAATATCCTTGTTTTCCAAATGTCTCCAGCCAGGAAAAGATCAGCACAGCTTCCACCAGTATCTTTCTTCGTAGCCCTTTCTCAGCAAACTAAGTCTGTGAAGCAGAGCACAAAAGTGTACAGCCTCTAGACGACAGATCAGAAAATGGTCTTGTCGAGTGTGTCCGAGAATCAGTAGTTTCATGCCATCACTGAATATGCCAAGGAGCAAGACACAACTGTCAGCAACACAACCCTGGCTCTCAGTTTAGCAGTTCCAGAACCAACCCATCTGATAAACAAGGTCAAAGGAAAAGACAGTAAAGGAAGAGAAATGAAAATAGCTCCTGTGGGCTGAATCAACTGACACCCCTCAGCGCTGAGTCCCCTTTTTCATAGAGACCTTAACACTATAAATTTCCTGTACCCAGTGCTGTCCACGGAAATCCAGAGATGATTAGACTCTTTCCCGCAGTGATAACAGTAAGAGACACCAAACACCTCCTTTAGTAAGGACATGTGTGTGGATGCCCTTCTCCAACCGTACATTAGTCAGTCAAGCAGAGTGACCTACATATGTATTGGACCAGAAATCGTTTCTAGAACTTGTTTATTTGCTCTGTTCCAAGTCCCAGAAATAAAAATTAAGTTTCCCATAGGGATCGTCTGCTCAGCAAGGATCTTTAATCCACCCTCTGTTTACCAGGCTGGGATCCGGGGGGAGAGAGTAGACTCACCAATTGATTGCTGTACCAGTATAGCGACGATGCCTTCAGTACCACCCAGAACTTTTTCCATTTGTTGCCTAGGAAAGTTCCTTTTTCCTTTTTCTTATATAGCCACCCTTGGCAGTCGGCGTGCCCCAGGTCTTTACATGATATCCTCCTCCGACTCATCGTGAAAACGCCTGCAACAATGGCATGAAAAGGTGGTCACATATCACCCCGATGTATGTGACAGAGTGAAAGGTAACTTTATTTTTTTTACCTCCTGGGAGTTGGACTTTATACCAAAATTTATGTAAAGTAAATGCAAAAAAGGGGGTGGGCAGTTTATCTATTTTATTTGTAAACATTTACTTGGTGCTTAGAAGGTACAAGACATGACCAAAGAAACAGTGAGACTAACATGCAAGTCTAAGAATATGCAACCAGAATAAGTTGAAAAATTAAAATCCTCAGGCTATCAGGCACTTCACTGCACTAGCAAAGCTCCTGTCAGCAGTGATAGCAGCACTTATGCAAGAGACGAAGGGTTGATGCCCACGGAAAACACAGCCACTTTCCCAGTCAGTGGCAGGCTTCCTGAGCTCTCCGGACATACCATAGTGGATTAATCCAAGTGAATAGCATGCCACCATTTCTTAAAATCAATCAAAACATAACCCGCATTAATCTGCCATCCACCTCCTGATATTAGCAGTAAGAAGAAAAGCTGATCCCAAAAGAAGGCATCCAAGAGAAAAAACGCACTCACACACAAAAAGGGGATAAACAAACAAAAGAGATCTAATTACCTTGAGTTTTCTTTCTCGGCTTCTGCCGCAAGGGAACCTGCTGAAAATGCAGGAAGGAAAGAAAAGAGGAAATTTCGGATTGTGTTGTAACATTTGTAAAGAGAGCGGGAGGGAGGAGGTGGCGGTGTTTATGAGCAGGATGAAGCTAAAAAAAACTCTCCAGGCAGAGCTGAGGGGAGCCATAGCTGAGGCACAAAATGTGCTAATTAGAATCAATAGACACTGAGCTGAAACTGGAAAAAAAAAAAGGTAACAGCATTTATCACTGATGTTTCCTGTTTCCACCCACCAGCAGCCTTCTCACCACCACTTCAGTTAGGACGCTCTTCACTGAAGTACTTTAAAGAAATTAAACATTTCCTTTATCTTTTCGGAAGAAATATATAGAATGTAAAAAATATATATTACATTATAAATATATTATATGTGTGTATATATACATATATCCTGCTTCTTTTCTTGCAGTGTCTAAATGATGATTATTTAAATAAACCTGGAAGATAATCATTGAAATCTCACTTTATTTCAGGTTCATGTCCAACTGGGAAGTTCATGGTCCTGTTACCACATAGGGTTACGCTTAAACCACATAAGTTAAATATCCCAGAAAAAGAAATTCCAGTCTCGTTGGAAGGGATCTCAGTAGCCATCAAGCCTCCTTACTAAGAAATTGTTATGTAAATTTGAATTGATTATTCTATCTTAAGTATCTGTGGATATTTCTCACATTTCATAAAAGATAAATTGAACTATTTTATAACAGCTCTTCAAATATTCAAATCAGACATAAGACAAAATATTTGAAATATACATAAATGAAAATACACATTTCATTATACATTTTAAAAACTCATGTAAAGTCAGACTATGAGCAAAAACAAATGCTTTTGAATGGCCCTCTTTGTGGGTGGGTGGGTGTGTAGGTGTGTGGAAGGAAGGAGAGACATTTTAGGTTAAAGAAGTTCCCTTTTTTCCTCCACAACATCTAAGCTGAATTTGCTCAGGTTTCAATGACAGATTTTTAGGCTAACAAGTAGGGAATCTGAAAAAACTCTGAACAATTGGAGAGCAGTTGTAAAAGTTCATAGGCATACTTACCATAACATTTTTTGTTATTCCAGATGCACCTGGCTGCTATTCTACATGTCTAACTATGGATCCAATAGCTATTGTGTATGGGTCTCATAAATTTAACAAGACTGTCTGTGAAAATAATCTAAAAACTAAAAAACATTAGTTGGTATAATCACACATAGGATAACATTATTATAGATATAAACACATACTTTATATCTAATAAACAAATTTCATAATAATTTCTTTCAGCAACAGTACCAAAGTTAAAGTGCCTAACTTATGTTTCCTGGGAAATCCCAAGCTGACTTTTATTTACAAGTGTTAGAATAAAATTGGATCCCCGAAGGAACTAGTCATCTTCGTGAATGAAGGACATTGCTCAGGCAGTGGCTGTCCGACATTTCAGGCAGGAACAGACGTGTCACTGTTGTGACCTGTGACTGACATTCAGGCATGCAACCACAGCAAGGTCCTAGGCTCAGCTCCACCGCCCAAAACGCCTCCCACACTGACCTGCATCTTGGTCTAAAATCCCCACTATTCTCTCAAACAGTCTCCTGGGCGTTTTGTTTTTTTTTTTAATGCAGTTATCTGAGATCAGTAAAGCCAGTAGTACCTATTAAAATATTTTAGCCCGAATACGTACGTTACCTGGATAGCTAAAACTTATCTGAGAGCCAGGACTAAAGGCAAGGAAGAAAGTAAGTAAATTTAGATAGCGGGAATGACTTGAGAAAACTGAGGTCCAGAAAACTCCAGGGAATTCGCAAGCCAGACTAAAGCCCAGAGCAATAGGGAGAAAAAGGAGTTAGTTGTACAGAGGCATTCCTCAGGGGTCCTGGCTCCAGATTGACAAAAAGAAATCACATCACAAATAGAGCTGAAGTTCATGGAATAAGTGCAGCTTTGAAAGGGATGAGAGAGAGAGAGAGAGAGTTAGGAGAGGGCCACTGTGAACCTCCTTTGCCCGTCCCTTATCAAGTCCTTATGGCTGGTTTTACTGAAAGCCCCAAATCAAATTGGAGTCTGTCTCAATTTTGCCCCACACCAGTCCTTGGTCTATGCTACATTCTTGTGCCTACGGGTGGCTAAGAAGTAGAAGTTCAAAGCAGAAGGAAAGTACCTCAAACAGGGTGATCATCCACCGTCAAGAAAAGATTTTATTCAGACGTTTTAAAAGAGGCAGGCAGGGACTTTAGCCATTGAGTCATCGCTCCTCTGATAGATAACCCTTCTGGCAAATTATTTTGAAATCCGTATAACTGTTCAAACTGTTTCCCCAACTAGAAACAGAGTGCATATTATCGAAATAACAAGTTAGAGAGAGTTTCAGTTTCACTTGATATATATGAATTTGAGACCTACACTGGTTGACATCGGAGAATGAAAACAATCTTGAGAACTTCAGCAGCTTAAGCTACCTCTCGCTCCTCACAACAGGAAGTGGAACTGGCAAACTAGTCAGTTTCACACAGATCTTACATGTGGTTTTTTTCACTAGGTGAGTGAAAAAAAAAAAGCCAAGTACCTAGCTGAGAATTTTGAGACAGTTTTTCAACAGGGTAATTATAACTCTTCTCATTACAGTAACCCCAAGCCTAGTAAGATATTTTTCTCATACTATTTTCTTCCCATTGGCATGTTATAGGTAAAGCTGAAAACTACTATAAATTATGAATTTGCCCCACTTGGTTCTAAAAGTGGAGGGAAATTTTTCTTTTAATATATATATATTTTCTTTTGATTGTAAAGAGTAATTTTTTGGATAATTAAAATAATCATTTGGTCATGAATCACTCAAAAACACACACAAACATACAAAGAAACCTTACAAAACATACGAAGGAACCTCCTTTGATGCTAAGTGGCCACAGTAACACTCAGGTTGCAGGGTAATTATTACACTGACTTCTAATCTGTACAGCAATTGTTAACTCTTGTATGTACGGTTTACCCTCAGGCTACGTTAAAGTTCACAGTAAGATAGTTTGTCATGACGTCAAACTTCATAATGATCCTGGTCTTTAGAAATATTATAGAGTGATATGCTGCTAAGTGGGCCCTGATTTGTAGCATTTACCTAATTGCCATGGCGTAAAGCCTCACATTATTGTCAACTGCAAGCTCCCGATACTTTAGCTAAGCCACAAAACTGCCTGAATATTTTAGATCCAGGCCAACACCAGTTGGTACAACCATTAGGGGTGCTTCTCCACAGCGCCTTTCCCCAACAAACATCTTTATTCCTTTCTCAAAAAGTAAACTCATTTTTACAGGACATTTTAAAGTGTTTAATAAAATTTTACCTGTGAAAACACATGAAAAGCTTGCTTAATTTTTTAGAACACTGCCTTTATAAAAATTACTTTATAAAGTAATATTTTAAAAGATCTCTAGTAATGAAAAGTGGAGATAGATGATAGACATTCTAGTAATAATAGACAGTAATAGAAAACAATGACGGCTAAGGAATATATATAAAGCTTATACTCATAAAATGTCTGCCATGTGCCAGGCACTGTTCTGAGTGTTTTTCACACATTCTGGATCACAATTTTCACATTGGTGGCTTAGGTGCCATCTGCCTTCCCATTCTGCAGAGGAGGAAAGTGAAGCCAATGGAGTTTCAGTGTTTAGCCCAAAGTCAATGGCAAAATGCAAATAGTTACTCTGAGAATACAAGTCATAAAGTAGTAGCCTGTTAAGGTATTTGCTTTCATTGTCGATGCTACATAAAAGGAAGCAAAGTGTGGAGTTCAAGGGGAAGCTGAGTGCGATGGCACTTTCTACACAGAAGAGAAATAGAAGAAATAAAAGAAGGAGGACTGGCAAGAAGGGGAACAAGATATAATCGTAGCAATGGAATTGCTGGGTCAAAAGGCAGATCCATTTTTAGTTTTCTTAAAAAAATTCCATACTGTTATCCACACCTATCCAAAAGAACCTATGCACCCCAATGTTCATAGCAGCATAATTTACAATAGCCAAGAGTTGGAAGCAACCTAGGTGCCCATCAGTAAATGAATGGATTAAAAAACTATGGTACATTTACACAATGGAATTCTACGCAGCAGAAAGAAAGAAGGAGCTACTACCCTTGGCAACAGCATGGATGGAACTGGAAAGCATTATGCTGAGTGAAATAAGCCAGGTGTTGAGGGACAAATACCATATGATCTCACCTATAAGTGGAACCTAATCAACAAAACAAATGAGCAAGCAAAATATAACCAAAGACACCGAAATAGAGAAGAGGCTGACAGGGACCAGAGGGAAGAGGGGAGGGAATTTCAGGGGAAAGGGGGAAGGGTTTACAGAAATAAGTACAAAGGACACATGGACAAAAACTAAGGGGGTTAGAAATGGGAGTGAGGTGGGGAGCACTGGCGGGGGGAGGGGGCTGGGATGGGAGTAAAAGACAGAAAACTGTACTTGAACAACAATTAAAATAACAAATAAATAAAATAAAAAGAAGGGGAGTAAAAAAGAGGAGAGAAGGAGCTGTAGGAGTGTAGTAGCAAAAGAAGAGAACAGGCACAGGGAGAGGAAGGTGAGGATGATGAGGAGAAAGTGAGAATGCAGACATTGAGGGAGAGTAAAGTACCAGGGGAAATCTTGGAATTTCTAGCATAAACAATTGAGTAAACGATAGCCCTACAGCCAGTTCATATATGTATTCATTCAGTAGTAAGCATATTGAGTTTGACATACATATGAGGCACACAAATGGAAATATTGTTTATAGGATTTAAGGGACTAGGGATTGGGAGAAAATTTGGAATAAAGGTATAAAATTGGGAACCATCAGTGTATGGAGAGTAGAAGCCTTGAGTTTGGAAAAGATCACCCAGATGTGCCGAATGACAAAGGATTGAAGTCAGAATCCAAGGGAAGGTCGGTGTGTTGCACAGAAGCACCGGAAGGGGAAGCCAGGGAGGAGACTGAGCAGAACAGCCAGTGCAG